TTTTTCTACTTTCTACTTCCCATGTAGATTAGATCTATGTAAGTCTCTCTTAGTGTCCTCATTGTTGTCTAAGTTCTCTGGGATTGTGGTTTGTAGGCTGGCTTTCTTTGTTTTATGTTTAAAAACCACCTATGAGTGAGTACATGTGATAATTGTCTTTCTGTGTCTGGGTTACCTCACTCAAAATAATGTTTTCTAGCTCCATCCATTTTCCTGCAATATTCAAGCTGTCATTATTTTTTTTCTGCTGTGTAGTACTCCGTTGTGTAAATGTACCATATTTTCCTTATCCATTCTTTGATCGAGGGGCATTTAGGTACACAAACAAAGCTGCTGTGTACATAGTTGAGCACATGTCCTTGTGGCACGATTGAGCATCCTTTGGATATATACCCAAAAGTGGTATTACTGGGTCTTGAGGAAGGTTGTTTCCTAATTTCCGGAGAAATCGCCACACTGACATCCAAAGAGGTTGTACTAGCTTGCATTCCCATCAGCAATGCAGAAGTGTTCCCTTTTCCCCACAACCTCTCCAGCATAAGTTGTCATCAGTGTTTTTGATCTTGGCCATTCTTACAGGTGTAAGAAGGAATCTCAGAGTTGTTTTGATTTGCATTTTTTGATGACTAAGGATGTTGAACATTTTCTTAAGTGTCTTTCAGCCATTTTAGATTCCTCTGTTGAGAGTTCTCTCTTTAGGTCTGTACTCCAATTTTTTTTATTGGATTATGTGATCTATTGATGTCCAATTTCTTGAGTTCTTTGTATATTTTGGGGATCAGACCTCTGTCTGATGTGGGGTTAGTGAAGATATTTTCCCATTCTGTAGGCTGTCGTTTTGTCTTGTTGACCGTGTCCTTTGCTTTACAGAAGCTTTTCAGTTTCAGGAGGTCCCATTTATTAATTGTTTCTCTCAGTGTCTGTGCTACTGGTGTTCTATTTAGGAAGTGGTTCCCTGTGTCATTGTGTTCAAGTGTACTTCCCACTTTCTCTTCTATGAGGTTCAATGAGGCTTATGTTGAGGTCTTTGATCCATTTGGACTTGAGTTTTGTGCATGGTGATAGATATGGGTCTATTTTCATTCTTCTACATGTTGATATCCAGTTATGCCAGCACTACTTGTTAAATATGTTTTCTTTTTTCCGTTTGATATTTTTTGCTTCTTTAGCAAAGATCAGGTGTTCGAAGGTATGTGGATTAATATCTGGGTCTTCTATTTGGTTCCATTGGTCCTCCAGTCTGTTTTTATGCCAATACCAGGCTGTTTTCAATACTGTAGCTCTGTAGTAGAGTTTGAAGTCAGGGATTGTGATGCCTCCAGAAGTTCCTTTATTGTACAGGATTGTTTTGGCTATCCTGGGTTTTTTTTGTTTTTCCATATGAAGTTGAGTACCGTTCTTTTGAGGTCTTTGAAGAATTTTGCTGGGCATTGTGTTGAATCTGTAGATTAGGTAAGATTGCCTCTTTTTTTGTTTGTTTTCTTTTGTTTTTGTTTTTAGAGACAGGGGTTTCTCTGTGTGGCTTTGGAGCCTGTCCTGGAACTAGCTTTTGTAGACCAGGCTGGCCTCGAATTTACGGAGATCCACCTGCCTCTGCCTCCTGAGTGCTGGGATTAAAGGTGTGCACCACCACTGCCTGGCCTATAATAGCTCTTTTTAATAAGTAGTATCTTTTTTAGATGTTCTAAGGGTCCACCAGGGAAATTAGTTGGAGAGAAATAAAAAGACTTAATTTAAAATTTGATACTGAAGCTGGGTGTGTGACACATGTCCACAACCCCAGCATGCAGGAGGCTAAGGTGAAAGAATTGAGTGTTTGAGACCAGCTTGGGCTGTATGTATGTAGCAAGGTCAAGATATCATTTTGAAAAGTTCTTTTAAAAAAATTGCCAAGATTGTAAAATATAAAGCAGATCTAAAGTCACTGGGAACAATAGTCATTGTTCATTTAGCAACCAACTAGCTGATGGTTGAGATCGTGAAAGACTCCAAAAAATGCCTTTTTTATTAAATTTTTTTAGATATGATTTTATGTTTATCAGTGTTTTTGCCTGTCTGCATGTGTGTGCATTGTGTATGTCAGAAGAGGGTGTTGGATCTCCTTGAAGTGGAACCACTCATGGTTGTGAGCCACCACGTGGGTGCTCAACTGTTCTCTGCAAAAGCAGTGCAGGCTTTTAACCTCTGAGCTGACTCTCCAGTCCTGAGTCTGTGTTTTTAGTAACAGTGCTTCATTTTATGAAAAACTCAAACTGTTCTCTTCTTATCTTAGTAATTTTCACCACCGCCCGGCTTTCATATCTTTTTTAAAAAATTTATCTCCTAAAAGTCCTAGACAACTTTGTCACTCATATGGTGTTTTTGTTTTTGTATTCATTCTCCCTTTTTTTTTGAAAAAATAACAAAATAATAATATTTTGGGGCAAAATTATTTTTTCTTTAGACTTTATTTTTTATTTTATTTTATGTGTAAGGTTGTTTTGCCCATACACATGCATGTTGGTGCCTCCAGAGGCCAGAAGAGGACATCACATCTCCTGGAACTGCAATTGTGAGCTGCCTTGTGGGTGTTGTGTTAAGAGCTTGGGTCTTAGAAGTGTTCTTAACTGCTGAGCCATCTTCTGACTGGGCCAAAAAAAAATTTTTTTTTAAAGAGTACATGCTTTTCATTAACAGAAATGTATTTTACCTTCCTTTTATATTTGAATGTGCAATTTCCCTCATCATTTCTCTAATTATTGTTGGATCTATTGGAAATCTTACCCTTTTACCCCTTAAGGTACTTAGTTTCCGTGAACACAAAGAAGGAGGCAGTTATAAATAGCCTGACATATTAGCAGTCTGTAGCTTGGAAAATCTATGAATCCCAACTGCTGGAAGCAGGTGTTTTCTTGTAGTAAAATTTGTCAGTATGGCACAAAACATAACATATTTGCTAGTTGTCCTAGCTACCTTTAGTCTCTGTGCACTAAAGAACTGGAAGCAAATATTTATCTTTGTTTTGCTGTGCCTGAGAACTTTTTTGTTCGCACAGGTTTCCCTCAGCTTCAACTTTAGATCCCCCATCCCATGCTGGGAAACCTAGACTCAGTCTTTGTATTGCGGGGAGGGGTGGGTTAGACAGGATTTCACTATATAGCTTAGAACTTTTGATCATCATGCCTCAGCCTCCCGAGTATTAGGATTATAGGTATGGGTCCCCAAGCCCAGCAATGGAGGAATCTCTTTTCAAAAGCATATACCTGAGGCTTCTAGCTGTACTATTTAATCTACAGTGTAATTCAGTTAAAAAAAAAAAAGACTAAAATGATGAGGTCATCACAGATTTGTGTTGCTTCGTTCAAAAAGTAAACTCAGCCATGACCCCACTTGCTTTTAGAGAGTCATGGACACAGTGGTCTTGATAAGGTACCTTTACTTGTCTAATTGCTGGGACAGGAAAGAGTGGGGGCATGGAGGAATGGCCACTTGGAACATTTGCTTGAGATTCCCACTCCTAATACTAAACTGTTAAAACCATAGACAAGCTAGTTTGAATAGGCTTATAGCAAAGAAATGATTCATGAATTGGGCAGCACTCTGAACCAGTAAAGATGCAGAGAACTCCACCCAGCAACTAGGCAGGTGGTATTTATATACAGGAGAGAAATTGTGGAACAAAGAAACAGTTTAGTTGGTTACAACTCAATTTCAGCATTATCTTTTTGGGGTATTGGGTGTTTTAATACTTAGCCCTTTGAAATTTGGTGTGTCTTTTCAGTTTGTCATGTTTCAGTTGTTGTATCTGATTTTACACTGCTTACATGCTGGATTTGATGTTGCAGCAGGTAGGCAGTCACTCTAAATGCATGTTCATTTGCTACTTTAAAATCATCCTCAGGTGGAATATGCTGGCCAGTTATGTATCCAACATGAATTTCTCCTAAGAGTAGTAGCCTTAGGCTAGGGTATAAGGGCAGAACGCTGATGCCATGTTTTTATTTGCAGAGGGTGAGGGGTTGAAACAGTGTTTCTCTGTAGCTTTGTAGCCTGTCCTGGAACTAACTCATGTAGACTAGGCTGGCCTCGAACTCATAGAGTTCCACCTGCCTTTGCCCCCGATTGCTGGGATTAAAGACATGTGCCACCACAGCCCGTCTCTGGTGCCACTTTTTATCAGTTATGTCTCAGAATGTATTCCATTAAAATACTTTTTCAGATCGGGTGGTAATGGCACATGCCTTTAATCCCATCACTCGGGAGGCAGAGGCAAGCGGATCTCTGTAAGTTTGAGACTAGCCTGGTCTACATAGCGAGTTCCAGGACAGGCTCTAAAGATACAAAGAGATATCCTGTCTCAGAAAGAAAGACAGAAAGACAAAATACTTTGTGTCATCTATAGGATTTTATGAATTCCTAGGTAGGTATTGTATGTCTTAAGCTTCAGTATGTTTTAGAATCTGCCCCATTAAGTCCGTTATGCAGTGGGAACTAGACCATGATCAGGGTGAATGGATCATTCAGTTGACAATATTCTAGAATGAATGAGCATTTGCAGTGCTCTGAACATGTATCAAAAATGTTTAAATAGATGTTGTAGTCTATATACTGTTCTAATAGAATTTTTGGTTTGCTGTGTTTTCTTGTGTTTTGAGACAGTTTTGCTATGTAGCCTAGATTGATCTTGAATTTGGAATTCTACATCTTTAGCATCCCTTGAGGGCAGATTACAGTATGTACCATCACAAGTGTTTTTATAAGTCTATATGTTATTTGTAGTTACAGGTTTGAATGTTGCATATCTTAGTTTTGTTTTCTGTTGTTGTGCTAAAACACCCTAGCAGAAGCAATTTAAGAGAGAAGGGGTTTAGTTAGCACACAATTTGAGGTTACAGTCCATCATTTTTTTTTTAAATCATGGTGGTAGGAACGTGAAGCAGCTAGTCACATTATATGCGGTTAAGAGTAGAGCGCATGAATTAATGCATGCTGGTATTCAGTTCATTTTTTCTTTCACACAGCCCAGATCCCATGCCTTAAGGAATGATTCTTGTTTTCCTGTAGACAGGTAGGTTCTTAATTTTGTGACCAATCACAACGCACATATTGCTTGAAAGATGCTAGGTGTTTTTTTGTTTGATGTTCTTTGGGGGAAGGTAGAGACAGTATTGATGTTTGCTACAATTGCATACTTGAAATATGCTGATTGTACTGTGTTCTAAGTTATTGGCTCCCTCACACTCTCGTTGCCAGCTGATACTCAAGTGTTAACAACGTGGATTTTAGTTTAAAAGTCCCTCCAGAAACATCATTGTATTTTAGTCTTACTGATTGATTGATTGATTGTTGTTGTTGTTGTTTTATTTGTTTCCAGACAGGGTTTCTCTGTGTAGCTCTGTCTGTCTTGGATCTCACTCTGTAGATTAGGCTGGCCTTGAACTCATAGAGATCCACTTGCCTCTGCCTCCTGAGTGCTGGGATTAAAAGTATGCACCGTTACCACCCAGCTAGTGATTTCATTTTTAGCAAAGCTTTTCTTCTACAATATGAGCCAAATGTTATAATATGAATAATAAAAACCCAGAGACAGATATTGGGGTTCAAACCGAAAGATCAGAGAAGCAAAGCAGCCAACCACTAGAGAGCTCTTACCTTTACAAAGTCTTCAGACTGAAAAAGAGAGCGATTTCCTATTTCATCCTGCCTTGTATTCCTTTCTAGTGCTGGGATTAAAGGTGTGCACCACCACTGCCTAGTCTGTATGGCTGACTAGTGTGATACAAATGAGATATCACTACATTTCCTCTTTTTTGTCTAAAATAACTAATATAAGAAAAACTATATATAATAAGTACTATAACTCTGTATAATATATACAGGCAATAAATATATTAACATCTAGTCCATATGCATTTGACAAATTCATTGAAAATATTATCTGTCCTATCGTGGTGAGTCCAAAGTCTTGTACCTAATTTACTTTCTATCCTAACTTGCTTTCTGCATCTGGTAAACAAGAAAAACTATAACTGTCTAGTCTTAACTCCCTCAGAGACCCAAGAAGGAAATAATATTAACTGAGTAAGCAGGATGTTTGAGCAAGCGACTTCCAAAAATTGTGAGAAATGACAGAAAGCTGCCTGCCTGGACAGTCACCCAAAGTTCCTCTGCAGTGTTGGCCATCCATCTTTGGCCTACAGGTCTAGAATATCTGACAGACTTTTCTGTGAAGCAGAGTTTTTGAAGCACTGTCCTACCTTGTCTGGGCAAGGTTTAGGAGTCACTCTGTTTTGTGTCCTGCTTGTCCAGTTAGGACAAGAACAGCGTACTGGTAGCATTCGAGGCAAAGGCATTTTCTTTCTTTCTTTTTTTTTTTTAATATTTACTTATTTATTTATTATGTATACAGTATTCTGTCTGTGTGTATGCCTGCAGGCCAGAAGAGGGCACCAGACTTCATTACAGATGGTTGTGAGCCACCATGTGGTTGCTGGGAATTGAACTCAGGACCTTTGGAAGAGCAGGCAATGCTCTTAACCACAGAGCCATCTTTCCAGCCCGCAAAGGCATTTTCTTGCCCAGTGGCTTACTTTTGCCACAAACAAAGTAAACTCAATGTATAGTTTCTTTGATGCCCATTATCTTCCCTGACGTAGATTGGTTCTGTCAGGAGCAGACATGTCTCATTGTCATAAAAAAAAGGACTGATGTTTTTAGAACATTTTAAATGCTATATTTTGTTGATCTCTGAAGTGAAGATGACCTGTCTATTTAAAATATATCTTTTTTGACCTTGAAAACATACTTAATGTGACTACAAGTTCGATTATAATAGGTGATTGACTACTAACCTGTGTTTCCTTATTATCCTAAACAGCTGGTGATACTATACCTTGAATCTAGTTTTCTTATCTATCTATCTATCTATCTATCTATCTATCTATCTATCTATCTATCTATCTATCTATCTGTACCACACCCATTATAGATGGTTGTGAGCCACCATGTGGTTGCTGGGAATTGAACTCAGGACCTTTGGAAGAGCAGGCAATGCTCTTAACCTCTGAGCCATCTCTCCAGCCCTTGAATATAGTTTTCTTTGTTTAGCTTTTTTCCTGACCGTTACCAATAACAAACTCAATCCCCTACATAATGACAAACATCCATAACCCATTGAATGACCAAAAACTGCCCCCCACCTCTTGGGAATGTGGGTGTCATATTCTTACATTTACTTCCTGCTGTCTGGGGGTGATGACATCTTTAGGGCATCTTGAAAAGAAAAGTTTGGGTTAATTGTCAAGTCCTGGGAGAGGTAGCTGTATCATTTGTTGTCAAGTCTCTACATAATGGGAAAGTGCAGGACTTGACTCAAGTCCTGGGTAGAGTAGTCTGTTAGGCTGGATCATCTCAACTAGTCACCTCAAAATTGTTGTAAGCAGTTTATAGTCCACAGCTGGTCTTTAGGGGTAGTGTTTTTCAACTTGGTGGTATTATCATAGTCCTGGAGGAATCATTGTGGGGCCCCATCCTCTTCTTGGCGACTTCAGAGGTTGCTGTTAGATATGCTCGTGGTTCACTACAGAAAACCCAAAATCATGTACAGGGATGAAGATGAAACCTTTTCCTAGAATTAGTTATTATTCTATATATTAATATCATGACAAAGTTTAAAATATGTGTATATATATACACACAATAAATCCTTTTAAAGAACTTTTTTTTTCCCGAGACAGGGTTTCTTCGTAGCTTTTTGGTTCCTGTCCTGGAACTAGCTCTTGTAGACCAGGCTGGCCTCGAACTCACAGAGATCCGCCTGCCTCTGCCTCCCGAGTGCTGGGATTAAAGGCGTGAGCCACCACTGCCCGGCTTTAAAGAACTTTTTATGATTTATTTTATGTGCAGTTTTGTGAAGGTGTAAGATCCCCTGGAACTGGATTTATAGGCAGTTATGAACTGCCATGTGGGTGCTGGGAATTGAACCAGGGTCCTCTGGAAGAGCACTGAGTGCTCTTAACCGCCAAACCGTCTCTCCAGCCCAAAGTTTTTTACCTTAAGAAAAGCTGTTAAAGAGTCGGTATAAAACCAAAGGATTATGAGATGAGTGGCCATAAAATAGTTCTTAAATTTTTGTTTATCTTCTGTCCCATATCAGGTGGCTCTTCTAACATGACACAGAGATTTTGGATTTCACTTTAATTTAATAAGCCTGCTTGGGTTTAGAGAAGGAGAGAGCTACACTCCAACTCCAAAGCCAGCTTTAATCTTTAACTGGACTGGGACTACGAAAGGACCATTTGCATTATATGTCTGTAGAAAGCAGCAGAAATAAACATTTGGGAATATATATGGAATTTTATTCTGTTGGAAATGTGATGTACCAATAGGCCGATTTACTCTTTCCTTGAGACATCTTTTCTGGATGATTTGTCCTTTTTCTTCAGATGTCTCATTTGTCCATAGTCTTCAGATTCCTTAGCTGGATGTCTTCCTTCTCCTGAAAAGACAGAAACAACACCCTTCCCCACTCTAACTTTGTGGAGATTCTCTTTTGGTAAATTATATCTGATGAAATGAAAAGCATTGTTAGTTTCATATGTAGGTTTCGATTAAACAGCCATGGTGCTTCATGACGTATCTTCTCTTGTAAATAAGAGCTCTCGCCTGTTCAGATTGAATCTTCATCAGTTTTGATGGTATGCATAGCTTTTCTTCTCCTGTGGAAACAAAAGTAAAACCCTTTCCCCAATGTAACATTATGTCCTGGTTTCCATCTGAGGTCAGTACATCTTTAAAGTATATTGGCTGATATTCTGTAGTTTTTTTCCTAATGAGACTATTTAATGTCTCCCTGCAGCTGCTATTTCTTTGTTATTAGCATTTGGAAAATTCAGAGTAAAGCATTATGCAATGTATTTCTGGGGGTATTTATCATCCACGTCTGTTTATTTAATATCCTTTAGAGTTCATTTTGATCTTTCTTTAACTGCCTACCCTGTAGGATTGTGTGGAATACCTGTAATATGTATATTTTAATAAGCAAAAAACTGTTTCATTTTTTAAAGAGCATGTCTGTTTTTATTGGTGCAGGTGTACCAATGATGACCATAGCTTTTAGCAAATGTGTGATTACCAAATCAGCATTTTCTGAACTCAAAGCAGTTGCCTATTGAAAACCTGAATAGATATCAATGGTGTTTACATATTTTAGTTTTCCAAATTCTACAAAATAGAATGCATCCATCTGCCAGTTTTCATTTCTTTGAGTACCCTTTGGGTTACTTACTGCAGGTGGTGGTGTTTGGCTGTATAAAGAACAAGTAGGACATTTCCTTAATGTCCTTGGCTTGTTGCCACATGATAGTAAAGTCTTTTTTTAAAAAAAATATTTATTTATTATGTATACAACATTCTGTCTGTATGCCTGCAGGCCAGAAGAGGGCACCAGACCTCATTTCAGATGGTTGTGAGCCACCATGTGGTTGCTGGGAATTGAACTCAGGACCTTTGGAAGAGCAGGCAGTGCTCTTAACCTCTGAGCCATCTCTCCAGCCCCGTAAAGTCTTTTTTTTTTTTTAAACCTTTGCTATTGGCATGAAATCCTGAGGTCTTCAGCACATTTCCAGTCAATAATTCATCAGTTTCCCATATGGGATCGGATGTGTGTTATATATATATGGGATGATGCCTATTTCTGATAATATGTTGTAACTGGATAAATAATGAAGTCACTGTATCTTCTGGTATAAATTCATTAGTGAATGACTTGATTCTCTTTCCTATTTCTCCAATTCTGTCCCAAGCATTCCAAGCTGCTGTGTGGCATAAATCCAGGGTGTGGTCATCACCTACAGCTCACCTCCTTATGGTAGCATATTCTCCTCCAAGGATTTGATCTTGGGAGGTCTCCCCACCTGTAGCTTTACTCTCTTCAATAATATTAGCCTCTTCTCTGAACTGGGTACCTATGTAGTCGTTAGGGATGACCCCCGAGGTTAGCATTTGCTTCACAAAAGGTGAATGCATGCTATATGAGACTATTCTTCCTTGAATCTCTTTAAATCTTAACATTGGCACAATAGTCCAGTTAGCAGTAACAGAACCTTTGCCATTTGATGATTCCTGGAACGTTACTGGATATTTTAAGGTTGGTTATCTGAAAACCTTAGGCTGTTCCTCTCTGTTCCTATAATGCAATGCTGAAATTGGCTCTCCATTAAATTTCTCTATCTGGATTTGAATATCTCTGTGATGTGTTTTGTTAGGTTTTTCTAAGGCCTGTTTCTTAGCACTCAGATTAACCAGCTTTCTTAATGATGAGACAAAGATGACAAAGTTGATAGTGTTTACAATTGATATCATATCAATCCAATCTAAATTAGATACCCTCTCAGTCGGTCCATTTTCTCCCGCCCCCCTTCCCCCCAGACAGGGTTTCTCTGTAGCTTTGGAGCCAGTCCTGGAATTAGGCTGGCCTTAAACTCACAGAGATCCGCCTTCCTCTGCCCCTCAAGTGCTGGGATTAAAGGTGTGAGCGCGCCACCACCCCTCCAGTCGTTCCATTTTCAAACTATCTAGCATATTATACAGAGACCAAAACCCTTCCATTGAAATGGTTGCTCTCATTTTTTTTTTTAAATTTTACTTTTTGTATAACTCTGTGTAAGCATATGCCAGGTGTCCTGAGAGGCCAGCAGGAGTTAGGCAGTTGTGACCTGCCCAACATGGACAGAGGGAACTCAACCACTGCGTCATCCCTCCGCCTGCTTTAAATTGTATTTATTTGTTTGTTGTGTCTTTAATCCCAGAACTCAGGCTGGGTTCTCTGGCAGAAGAGTACGGGGAGCAGAGCCGGACCTGCCATACTTTCCCTGGGGCTGAGTGGAAGAATGGTTAGTGTTGACCACACACACACACACACACACACACACACACACACACACACACCAACCAGGGAAAAACACATACATCATTTAATTGCATCCGGCCGGAATTTAAATAGGGCTGAGATAGGGGGTGGGAATCTTGGGATGGGTTGAGGCAGAGTGAGGAATAAGGGCCAATGATATTTTGCCACATTAGCAGTGGCTGGGCAGAGGCAGATTTGTCACTCATGTGGAAGTCATGGCCAAAGACAGGTCTCCAAACTCTGGGATCAGGAAGTTATACTGAGCCTCACGCCCAGGCCTTATGAGGCCCAACACTGGTCTACAGAGTTTGTTCCAGGACCTAAATGGCTGCACAGAGAAACCCTGTCTTGAAAGACCAAATAAATAAAATACCTGTTTGCTTGTCATTTTCTTTTTCATTCATTCATTCATTCATTCATTTATTAATTATTTAAGTAGGGTTTCTCTACATAGCTGTGGTTGTCCTGGAACTCACTCTGTGGACCAGGCTGATCTTGAACTCACAGAGATCTGCCTGTTGAGTGTTAGGATTAAAGATATGTGCCACCACTCTTGGCTTAACTTTTTTTTTTCTTAGGAATCTTATTCCTGTATTGTATTCAAATATTAATCAAAATTTCCCCAGATTATTAGGTTGTGATCTTTTTTACATAATATAAGACATTTATTTCCTATTTTGGTAAAATGTTATAACACTGTTCTTAAATTCACTATATTTTCTGTAATTTAAAAGAGGTTTTATGTATTTGGCTTAA